CCCCCCGACGGGCACCCTCCAGCCGAGCCCATCATCCCCAGCTCGGGAGCGCCCGAAAGGACATCTCTAGCCCTGGGGCACCCCAAAGGCACGTCCCCAGCTCTGGGGCATCCCAAAGGCACATCATCATTTCTGGGGTGCCCCAAAGGGTCATCTCTGGCTCTGAGACACCCTGATGGGATGTACCTATCTCTGGGGCACCCCAAAAGGCTATCTCCAGCCTGCAGGCACCCCAAAGGTGTATCCCTGGCACTGGGACATCCCAAAGCTCTGGGGTGTCCCCAAGGCTCATCCCCAGCTCAGGAGCACCCCCAAAGGGATGTCTCCATCCCTGAAACACCCCAAAAGACTGAGAGACACCCCAGAGACACATCTCCAGCTTCTGGGGCCTCCTGAAAGCACATCTCCATCCCTGGGACACCCCGAAAGGCTCATGCCTGGCTCTGGGCCACCCTGGAGGCTCATCCCGGGCTGTAGGGCCACCAAATCTCTGGCTGTGGGCCACCTCAGGGACCCAGCTCTGGAGCCCCCCAGAGGCTCGTCCCGGGCTGAGGGATGCCCTGGGGACACATCTCCATCCCTGGGACATCCCGAAAGGCTCATGCCTGGCTGTGGGCCACCCTGGGACCGTGGCTCTGGGCCAACCCCGGAGGCTCGTCCTGGGCTGAGGGATGCCCTGGAGCCACATCTCTGGCTCTGGGGTGCCCCAAAGGGATGTCTCCAGCCCTGGGACACCCCGAAGGCTCCTCACATCTCTGGCTCTGGGGTGCCCCAAAGGGATGTCTCCAGCCCCGGGACACCCCGAAGGCTCATCCTGGGCTCTGGGCCCCCCCGGGACCCAGCTCTGGGCCACCCTGGAGGCTCATCCCAGCTTGCAGGATGCCCTGGGGACACATCTCCAGCTCTGGGGTGCCCTGAAGGTGCATCCCGGGCTCTGGGGCCCCCTGGGGACCCGGTCCTGGGTCACCCTGGAGGCTCGTCCCAACTTGCAGGATGCCCTGGGGACACATCTCCAGCTCTGGGGTGCCCCAAAGGGCTGTCTCCAGCCCCGGGACACCCCGAAGGCTCATCCTGGGCTCTGGGCCCCCCCGGGACCCAGCTCTGGGCCACTCTGGAGGCTCATCCCAGCTTGCAGGATGCCCTGGGGACACATCTCCAGCTCTGGGGTGCCCCAAAGGGCTGTCTCCAGCCCCGGGACACCCCGAAGGCTCATCCTGGGCTCTGGGCCCCCCCGGGACCCAGCTCTGGGCCACTCTGGAGGCTCATCCCAGCTTGCAGGATGCCCTGGGGACACATCTCCAGCTCTGGGGTGCCCCAAAGGGCTGTCTCCAGCCCCGGGACACCCCGAAGGCTCATCCTGGGCTCTGGGCCCCCCCGGGACCCAGCTCTGGGCCACTCTGGAGGCTCATCCCAGCTTGCAGGATGCCCTGGGGACACATCTCCAGCTCTGGGGTGCCCCAAAGGGCTGTCTCCAGCCCCGGGACACCCCGAAGGCTCATCCTGGGCTCTGGGCCCCCCCGGGACCCAGCTCTGGGCCACTCTGGAGGCTCATCCCAGCTTGCAGGATGCCCTGGGGACACATCTCCAGCTCTGGGGTGCCCCAAAGGGCTGTCTCCAGCCCCGGGACACCCCGAAGGCTCATCCTGGGCTCTGGGCCCCCCCGGGACCCAGCTCTGGGCCACTCTGGAGGCTCATCCCAGCTTGCAGGATGCCCTGGGGACACATCTCCAGCTCTGGGGTGCCCCAAAGGGCTGTCTCCAGCCCCGGGACACCCCGAAGGCTCATCCTGGGCTCTGGGCCCCCCCGGGACCCAGCTCTGGGCCACTCTGGAGGCTCATCCCAGCTTGCAGGATGCCCTGGGGACACATCTCCAGCTCTGGGGTGCCCCAAAGGGCTGTCTCCAGCCCCGGGACACCCCGAAGGCTCATCCTGGGCTCTGGGCCCCCCCGGGACCCAGCTCTGGGCCACTCTGGAGGCTCATCCCAGCTTGCAGGATGCCCTGGGGACACATCTCCAGCTCTGGGGTGCCCCAAAGGGCTGTCTCCAGCCCCGGGACACCCCGAAGGCTCATCCTGGGCTCTGGGCCCCCCCGGGACCCAGCTCTGGGCCACTCTGGAGGCTCATCCCAGCTTGCAGGATGCCCTGGGGACACATCTCCAGCTCTGGGGTGCCCCAAAGGGCTGTCTCCAGCCCCGGGACACCCCGAAGGCTCATCCTGGGCTCTGGGCCCCCCCGGGACCCAGCTCTGGGCCACTCTGGAGGCTCATCCCAGCTTGCAGGATGCCCTGGGGACACATCTCCAGCTGGGGGTGACACTGGGTCTGGCACAGGGATGGCGCTGGGGTAGCACTGGGACCAGCACGGGGATGGCCCTGGGGGTGACACTGGGTCTGGCACAGGGCTGGCCCTGGGGCAGCGGCAGGACCAGCACGGGGATGGCCCTGGGATGGCACTGGGATTTCCTGAAAGTATAGTTTGAATAATTCTTGAATCTTGAACAACATACATCTTACTTTTTGGAGACTGAACACGTATTGTTCCCTCTTTGACCCTTTCCTCTGCTTGGCGGATGTGATTCTGGTTTACCAGTGAACTAATCTGTATAAGAGCGGCAAATTTCATTTTTTGTTTGCAAAGCGAAGTAAGATGTGTAGTGGTAACGCAGTCAAGAAATATATCCTAAATGTAGAACTGCTCCAATACCGAAACTTTAAAATAACCTGTAGAGTCATCATAGTCATGAAGAAAATCTTAAAATATGAATAGGGCATAAGCTACTATCAGATCATTTCCTTTGTTCTACACACAGGCTAAGACAAGGATTTTAATCACATCCACCCATTTTTATCACATCCACCCAGTTCAGTGGGTGCAATTTATCCACCCATGGAGAAGCACCCGTTGATTAACTCTGAGGCTGAAGGATGATGGTGCTAACGTCGGCTTCCTAGGTATTTCACCAGTGGCCGTTACAAGTAAGACATTGGGCTACGAGCGTGCCCCGTGTTCCCAGCAGTCTCCGAAGTTTCTCAGCTGCCGGCAGCCCCCAGTTGTCCCTTCCCAGCTGCCAGCGTCCCTTTTTCCCTTTTGCATGTTTTCATGTGCTAGCAATAAAATATCTTCACAGGCTCTAGAAACTGGGGCAGGATACGCTTTCTTTAACTGAATATCAAAATAGAGAGGCAACCAGACTGGTGGTTTTGTATATACAAAATTCTTTTCTTCTTTTTTTTTTCCGCGCTGGGGACCTGGATGAGGCCGGGCCCGGACGGGAGCTGCCCTCCTTCGCCACCCCGAGACGAGGTTCTCGTGTCCCCCTTCCCGTGGGGTCGCCTGGCCCCGCTCGGGCTCTGTCGTCCGCCGGTGCTGACCCTAACGTTCCCGCTGCGGTTTTGAGCGGATTTGTCCCCCTGCCCGGCACCGGGGCTCGGCCCTGCTGCGCGCCCGGGGGCCTCCGTGCTGACGCTCTTTCGCCGTGGCAGGGAGAAGCGGAGAGCCATCATCCCTCCTCATTTGGCGTACGGCAAACGAGGTTCCCCCCCCACCATCCCAGGTAAGCACGGCCAGGCTGGGCCAGCCCCCAACAGCCCTCGTTGTCCCCGTTCCGCAGCAGGGGTGTCAGGATCGCTCCTGCCCGGCCCTTGGACATCCTGTGTGCCGGAGGAGGTGCGTCTGGGCCCCGGCGGGCAGCACCTCGGCTCCGTCTGGGGTCCCCGCTCAGGCTCTGCCCCTCTCGCCAGGCGACGCGGTGCTGAAGTTCGAAGTGGAGCTGGTCGGCCTGTCTCGGGCCAGCTACTGGCAGAAGGTGGTGAACGACGTGCTGCCCCTCGTGTGCCTCGGGCTGGTCCCGGCGCTGCTGGGGCTCATCGGCTTCCACCTCTACCGCAAAGCCAGCAGCCCCAAGCTCTCCAAGAAGAAGCTCAAGGAGGAGAAGAGGAACAAGGCCAAAAAGAAATAAACCGTACCCTCAGCAACCATAGTTGCTCCGTGCCTGCTCTGTCCACCTCCTGGGGCCGTTGGCTGCGTGGGGGACGGGGTGCAAGCTCCTGTCCGGGCAAAGGCCTGGTAGGAAACCGAGAGCAGAGGGAAGGGGGCCCTGGGCTGCTCTTCTCCCTCGCTGGATGCTGTCGGCTCCCACCAAAGGCCTGGAGCACCCTGTCTGGTCCTGGCAGGGGGGGTTTAGCATGGCCAAGGGTTTGAAGAGTCAGACCTAGACTGAGCCTGCCCAACGGAGCTGTGTGTGACCAGAAATAAAACCCGTAGCACATCCAGGGCACAGTCAAGCTCTTTAATGGCAGCTCCAGGCAGGTTCCCGTGCTCTCTCTGAGCATCAGGCTCAGCTGGGTGCCCCAGGCCGCGAGACGATCGCAGCTCTGGCTGGGGCTGGGGCCGACCCGGCCACGCGTCCTCCCCCAGGAAGCTCACAGGGTGCGTGACACCACGTGTGCTGCCTCGATGATGTTGTGCACGGGCCCCCCGGCGCGGGGCAAGGCCCTGGGGCTGCAGCTCCTGTGCTGGAGGGTGAGGAGTGGGTTGGGATGACATTGTGCACGGGCCCCCCGGCGCGGGGCAAGGCCCTGGGGCTGCAGCTCCTGTGCTGGAGGGTGAGGAGTGGGTTGGGCTTGCTGAGCACCTCCTCACTCACGGAGATCCCCTCCAGGTACTGCTTGAGCAGCTCCCGCAGGCGCTGGTTCCTGTGGCTCAGAGCTGCCTTCTCCTGCACCAGCGCCAGCTCCTCCAGCTTTGCCTTGTTGAACCGCTGCCAGAAGCGCTCCAGCCCCACGTAGTCCTGCATGGCCTGCGCAGGAGGGAGGGATGAGGAGGCAGGGGGGCCCAAACCCACCCCTGCACACAGGCACGTGCGCACGAGCCAGGCCAGCACTGGCTGGCCCCAAGGCTCTCCCCTGTCCCTCCCTCCCACATGGCAGTGCCTAGCCAGCTTGGGACCCCAGCGCTGCGTCCTCACCTGGGCCAGAGGCTCTGCAGGTGTCTCCTTGAGGACTTGCTCCGCGTCCTGCTGCTCCCCCTCAGCCAGCGAGGAAGGGTAGAACGGCAGCACCTTCTCCTCCTCCGTCTCCAGCTTACGGCACATCTCACCCAGTCGCAGGACGCGCTCTGCCTGCAGGGGACACCGGAGAGGGCAGGTAGGGAGGGGACGGGTGGGTGGCCCGGGATAGCCCGGTCCTGCCCCAGGGCAGGCAGCACGCAGCCTGCAGGCCTCACCTTCTCCACGACGTGCATCAGCACCTTCAGGGCAGCGCTGCTCTGTGTGGTGAGCTTGACCAGGCTGCTGTGGGCCTTGGCCCTGGCCTGGTTCATCTCCTTCTTGAGCTCCTGGAGCTGCCTGAGGATGACCTCCTTCTCCTCCCGCACGCACTGGTTCTGCTCCTCGCTCTCCTGGAGGTGAGCCGCGATCCTGCCCTTTATGGCCGCGATGGAGTCCTGGGGGCACATGAAGCGTTAGCGACAGGATGGGGGGTCTCGGGGCTGCGCCTGTGCCATGAGTTTCTGCTGCCTCAACCTGGAGTTTCTGCAGCTTCTTCGTCTGCATCTCTATCTCCTTGGAGCTCTTCTTGTCCTTCTGCTTGAGCACCTCAAAGGCAATCTTCCGGTCCTCTGTGGCCTCTGTGTAGCTGTGCAGGACCTGCTGGAACTGCTTCCAGAGGGCCTCCACCTTGTTGCTCAGGTGCAAGCGGCTGTACTGCTTCTCTTCCAGTTGCTGGGGGGGGAGACATTGGAGGGGGTGTCCCACCAGCCCTTCCCCTCCTCCCCAGGCTGTGACCACCATGCTCCAAGCGAAGCAGGTCCCTCTTGCCTCCACTGCGGCTGAGGCTCCACCAGCCCTCACTGTGCTCTGCTCATGCCCCGAAACCTAAAGTGCTCCTCACCAGAGTCAGCTGCTAAAGAGTGTGCTAAAGAGCCTGGCCAGTTCCTCATCGAGACCTGCCCTGTCCCCCACCCTTGCCTTGTTCTTGATGTCATCCCAGGCGCTCTGGAAATTCAGCGTGGCCTCGTAGTTGTTCTCAACGAAGTTCTGCTCCACGGCCAGCATCACGTCCTGTAGGTAGCAGCATTCTTGCTTGTGCTGCTCCAGGATTGCTCTCCTGGGGGAAATGTCGGGGAGCTGCGGAGCACAGGGCCAGGGCAGGCCAGGGGGTCCCCTCTCCGGCGTTACGAAAGGGCTCCCCACCAGGGACACAGCGTCCCGGCAGGACAGCCAGCGGGTGCCACCACTGCACCCAGATCCCTCTCTCCCTCTCCTCGATACCTCTCCGTCTCAAACTCCTCCTTGAGAGCCTCCAGCTCCGTGTTATAATCCTCCTCCAGGTAGCGCAGGCGGCAGCGCTGGAGCTGCAGCAGGCGGTCAATGTTGTGCAGGTGGCTGGAGAGGGCCTGGGCGTGCTGCGCCTCTGCCTCAAACAGGTCTCTGGCCAGGGACTGCAGGAGGGAGGGAGGGAGGGTGGGGCAGGGGGCTCTGCGCAGCCCTGCCCTCCCACCCTGGCAGCCCCGCGCTCACTTTGATGACGCTGTCCTTGCAGTCCATCACCCGCGCGAAGGTCTGGCTCAGGATCTCGACATCTGTGCGCAGCTCCTTGGCCTTGGTCACCCGCAGCACTGCGAGCCACTGCGTGTTGATCTTGTCGAGGTTCAAGGCGCTGCTGTGCTCCTCCTTGGCCAGCTTGTCCTGCGTGGGGGGCCGTGGGGTCAAGGGGCAGTGGGGACGTGTCCCACGGGGGACAGAGCCGGCCGGCACGCAGGGAAACGCATCGCAGGCCCCCAGGCACCTTCAGGAACTGGTTGAGCATCTCCCCCTTCTTCTTGGCCTCCTCCTCCTCGGCCAGGGCTTGGCGCTGCAGCAGCAGGAGCCGGTTCTCCTCCGTCGTGCGGGCGGCCGCAGCCCGCCCGCGCCGCTCCTTCGGCCTGGCG